ACTCAATGGTTTTTTAATGTTTTCATTCTTTTTCCTAGCCAAAATAACCTGCTGTGACTTACTATTTAAAATAAAAAATATTTATATTAATGCTCCTCTCAGCAAGAGTGCAATTAAGCACTGAATCTGGAAGCTTAAATGCTGTTTTTCAGGTTTGTTGGTCAGAAATCTGAATTCTGACATGTTTTTTTTTCATATCACTGCTTGATTAATCATAAACCAATTCCTAGTTATGTTACTGTTTGATATCATCTCCCCAAATGATAGGAAAGTGTCCTGAAATTGCTCAAAGTGACAAACAAGGGAATGAAATAGGGTTTAAAAGTCACATATCACACTCCTTTTAACAAGTTTAAATAAGTCTCAGAGCTCCCCAAAACATGTCTATGAAGTTTCTTCGCTCTGATCCTGTATTTTATCATGCCTTTAAACCCCTCTATTTCAGCCCTGTTCAGAACAGGCTGCTTCTGTGTATATAGCTTTAAATGCAAGTGGGCTGGGTTCTACCACCCCCTCTGGAAGGACTTTGGTGGCTTGGGCTTTTCTTGCACCATGCCCTATTGTATAGAGAAGGCAGTCTAGGAGGGCAGAACAAACAATTAAGCTGTTGGAATGTCACCCACCTGGTGGAGGGGTTACTGCCCTTTATGATGTCACAAATGGAAAATCTTCAAACAGCCTGTTTGAGTACACATTTTCTGAAAGGTGTTGTAGGCAAAAACGGAGAGGTTGAACTTTTCTCACAATTGGGAGGTTTGTAGACGGACTAGGAACACATATTAGTGTTTGAAACACATGGTAAAGTGTAGACTGCATAATATGTGACCCTAAAGGAGGTCAATTTTTTTATAAACGGAAGACAAAACAACCACTATTATGTAAGTCAGATCAGTTATTGATAGATTGGAGAGAGATGTTAAAGTGGAAGACACTAACATTTCTAGGTTATGGTAATTTTAGCTAGCTAACTGTGTTAGTTAATTAAATGCTCATGTGAGTTCTTAAGACTAACCTCAGAGATCAAGAGTTATCAAAATGTTTCTTAACCTTGAAATGTTCTCATATCTCTGGATTATTAGTATCTTTTGGTATTTTAGTTGCTATTTAGACAAGAAATCATTAAATTAAAATTGTCAAATTTCCATTGTTGATATGATCTGCAAACACAGTAATACAACATTAAAACAAAGTTTGAGCTTCCCATTGTGAACCCAATAGAAAAATGGGTGCTTTTTGAACAAGACAAAAAGTCTACTGTTTACCCCAAATGTGTATCCTACTTGCTGCTCTGCACATCTGCGGCTGAGCACAAGGTTGCAGAATGAGTTGAATATCATAAACCTTTAGGGGAACTCACCGTCATTATTCATGAACTGTGACATAGGCATGTAGATCCCAAGATTCAGATTCAAGTGAGTCCCTTTAAAAAAAAAATGGTAGGGGCTACGAAAGGCATTTACATGTAGCTCAATTTCATTTATGCACATGAAGTTCTAGGGGAAATTATTTTCACACTATTATGAAATCAAGTACATCCCCTCAGGTAGAGTGAGCGAGAAATGAGGTCATGTTTGGTTTATCTAGATGAAGATAGTTAAGACATACCTTTCACTGAGCCAGACAAATTGTACACCAGCAGAGGTAAAATATATTTGAATGCTTACGAAAGAGGGTAAACGACATGTTTATGATATCAATGACTGCTGGGATTCTCTTTATAACATAAATTATCTAAAAGTAAACTCAACTTGATGTGTAACTTTAGGAGTAAACTAAAATTTCAGAGAAGGAATGACCCTGTGTTTTAGTTTGTAGTTTGAATTGCTAAAATGTTCTCTCCCCTTTTTTTAACTTCACATAGATATGCCCACAATTTTAAATATTATGAAATGAAATGAAATATTACATGTTTGTTGTAAAACTGACAAAGAAAAAGAAAACTACAATGGTATAAACAGCAGTTTTTGCAAAAAGGAAGCGAGGAACAGTTATGCCCATCACAGTGGCTGCTTCCTCTTAACTTTTTCAAGAGCGACTACTTGTACAAAAAAAAAAAACTGAAATGGTGCGATTTTACAAGAAAAATATCCCCTCTAACAAATTTGATGAATGAAAGACTTGTGGTGAATGTACCTGATACAACAGATGACAAAAAGTTTTGGTTTGTGAGAGCACCATCCGAGAAGATATGAGTCATAATTTATTTTAGGTATGAATGACTGCTGGTCTGTGTATGTAGAGCGGGCTCACTCTAAGTCACAGGTGATGTAAGATCGGATCTACCACAATTCAGCAAATGCCCCCAAAAATTACGCTAACGTAGACAGGTAAAAAAAAAAAAAGAGAGAAGTCAGAGCAATATGTCTGAGATACAAATGTGAGCTGTGATCTACATAAAAAGGCACAGATTTGTGTTCAGTAGATATACCAGAGATTAGAGCCACTTCATTCAACTCTTTCTTTCAGTCAATAATAGACTTATTATGTCTTTAAAAGTCATTGGAGATGTGTTCCTTGTATCCTCCTTTCCTTGTTTTGATCTTTTCTGCAAGAAAAACACAATGGTGCACTAAGAGCAGTCTTTCAATGACAGGAGTGAGCACAAATATTATTAAAATGGATCACAGCTGCCTTGTAGCTTGTAATAACAATGTTGATCTTTTCATTGTCAACTGCCTGGAGCGCTTTGGGATCATATACTCTTGTAAATGAGGGAATCTCGCCATGTTTTCCCAGATACAATCTAACAAAATCCTGTTTTTGATGGCTAAAACCTTGAAACCCGTTCCCCAAAACCTTGAAGGAAACAGCCAGCTTTATCACCTACTACCTGAATCATATTATGTTAACTTAAAATGCGCAAGACGACAGCACTCTGTTTTCAGATATAACTTGTCTGCTTTTTTGGGAATTCCCTCGTGATGGCGGGAAATTCCCATTCTTTTAGGATACAAGATTAAAGGCTTTATCTATCCCTTCTGTATTTGTCTGGATAACTGTCAGGCTGAAGTGTTCCCTTTGTGTCACTATATGATAGCTACATCGGTACATCCTGATGATTTGAAACCTCTTTTTTTAACAGGAACTGGTCTACCATCGTCACCTGATTTTTTACCACTTATGCTTAAATGTCTTAGAAAAATTCCCAGAATCAGGTGGGGATATGTGACCTACTTTTTCCACCCTTAAAGAGGTGGGTAGAGCTTTTGTGTGTGTGTGGAAGTTCAGTCACTTATAGACCCTCTTTTAAAGAGTGGGTGTGCTAGCTGGGGGAGAATCCCCTGCAGCTTGTGGTCTTTTAAGGGCCTGTGTGTATTTCTATAGTGCATGTGGTTGGTTTGTAGATGAGAGAATAAAATTGCCCTTTCAAGCAAAATTGGAACCAATCAATCTATAGGCACATTTACTGAGGCCAAGTTGGTGTGGGATGCAAATGAGATAAATGTGTTGTAAAAAATCAGCCGCGACCTATAGTCACCAGTTTGCTGATGAGTAAGTTAGCATGTGATTCTGCTTGCTGTCATTTTTTTTTTTTTTAGCCCTTGGGGACGTAGGCTCAAGCACAATATGCAAACTGTTTCAAAGTGTTTCTTCAAAACCTTTAGGTTTGACAATTTTTCTCAAATAAGGTGTCGTAAATTCATTTCATTCCAGTTTTGGTAGACTTGAAATTACCCACAAATATTAATTCTCTATAAATTTTAGATTTTTTTCAGATTGTTTGCAACTTTCAAAAAAGAACATATGTTGGCCTTTCTAAAGAGAACTTGATGCAAAAGTTTTTGGTTGAAAACCCCTCTTATGTCTTTGCCACAAATAATAGGCTAGCCGAATCAGCTGTTAAGCATGCTAACTAGCTAGATTGGCTGTGCTCAGGTATTACAAATTTCTCAGTCCCTTTTGAAGTTCATATTTGTCAGTTACCTCTTGTTGTATACACATGACAGGGTAAAATGTTAAAACTGGACTTTTGCTTGGCAAATTCTTTGAGACCTGACAGGTTCAGGCTACAGGGTCCTGTTCAGCTTCCTAAGCTAATTTAACAAGCTGCTTTTCATAGCGTCATACATGAGCGCTTTCACATATCAATATATTGTCAGAAAGAACAGTAAGTAATATTGTTAAAAAGCCTATTTTCCAAAATGTTAAACATTCACTCAAATGGAGGGAGGGAATATAAGAAAGCTAGAATGGGCTTGTTTTTACCTTCATGTTTGCTAATATTAGCTCGCAAGCTAAGGACCATTCCAGAAGAAGTATGGCTCTGGCAACAAAACCAATGAGAATAGTACATTTATGAATAGTGTTTATTTTTAGGAGGCTAATTCAGATTTTTTTGTATTCTAAAACTTTTCATGGACTTGCTTTGAATGAGATATCGAATTAAAAAAATGCAACAAAAGGGGAATGTATTCACTCACACAAAGAACACAGTTGTTAAGCAGCTACATCTCTGCTTTGCACCGCAACTACATGTCTACTTCCTTTTGAACAGGGGATGTCCAGCTTCCTGTGCTTACTACACCGACCCATGACAAATGATTCACCAAACATCAACATGCTTGTTCTGTTTGTGTCAAAGTGATACTTGACAGTGTCATACGACAGACTGTTTGGTCTCAGACCCACAGGCAGATATCGAGGGTTGTTGGGTGTAACTTGAGCCAGTGTCTTTCACTGGTCTTCTCAGTATATCCCTGTAGTGTTTTTGCTTCAGCCAAACAACAGCTGGGAATATGGCTGTCACAGTACAGCGTGCCCATTCAGGCAATGCAGTGAAGGGGTTTTCCAACGCGCACAAGCACACACACGTGACACAAATGGACACACACACACAAACACACATTGAAAAAGACAGGCACATAGATTAAGTAGCGCCAACACTTTGGTGGTTAAGCTATGATCTGTGGTTTCAGCTCCAGGCTCCAGACTTGAAAAGTAAAACACAGCATGCAATAATAAAACATATTTATAACTATATAAATCACCATAACTTCAAGTGTGTGTGATACGTTTTTTTTTTTATTACAAAAATAATGTGCCAGCTCAAAAAAAAAGCATTTTGTCAGTTGGGATGTGATCTTAACAGTTTCCAGTTGTAATGTATTTCACTTTTTCTATTCCTAAAATGACCCCCCCATACAAAAAACAGCTTTAATGTAAAAGACAACAAAAGAATTTAACTCAAATTATATGCCTTTTCCATTTTTTATGCACATCGAATAAATATTAAAATAATAGTTTATGTTAAATCTGTTATTAAGAATATATAATTTACAGGAGAGAAAAATGCAAAGTTCAACCAAAAATAAACTAATAGATGCGCAAAGTCAACTACATGTCTGGATCCAACATTAGAAGCTTATGCATCACGATCTCTTAGTCGTATGAGCATATGATTACTTTTTGGCTAAAAGTAAGAAAGTGCAATAGGTTGTAATTTGACAAACTGAGGTATTTCAAAGGGTGCATCAAAATGCACATCCCGGTCACAATAACATCCTGTATTACGACAGGCGAACACTAAAAACCAGACACTGGAAATACACAGGCTGAGAAAATCCACACAAAGTCATTTCCCATGCAAAAGGGGAACTTTGGCTGAAGCTGTTTGTCCATAGTGAAGTAAACTGTACAACCCAGTTGTTTCATTTTAAGTCAAGACTCTCTGACCTGGAATCTCCATCCAGGCTATTTTCTGACGTGTAGTGCTGCTCTACAGTGTTCGGTTATTGTCAGCGAGATATATCTTTCTTTTCTTAATGAGTGTTGTTTCTGGTTATAGTTTGGCACACTCCTCACAATGGTTCAGGTACTCTGTTGCGTGTGTTTCACTGAATGTGGCGAGGCAGCGCGGGCACTGCAACTCTGACAGGCCCGGGCATTCGCTCCAGGCAGGTTTTGCTGTTGATGCTGCTGCTGCTGCAGGCTGTTTCTGCATCTCAGCAGGGCTCCTTAATAAAGGCTCTGAAGAGTCCTTGTGTCGCCTCGAGGAGATTCTGTGTCCTATGTGCACACGACACATGGGAACCACTTCTCTGCTCTCCCTGCTGGCTTCCTGCTGAGGACAGTCACAGTCAGGATTGCATAAGCCAACGCATAGAGGAGTCAAAAAAGCAAGTGAAAGTGTCTTGAAGTACATCTTTGTGTAAGGGCTGTCGTCTCACCTGTTTGTGTAGCTGTCGTTTTAACTGATAAACCTGCTCCTTCAGATCTTCCATCTGGCCCTGTGCTCGCTCTCTGTCAGTACGCTCAGACTTAAAGTCCTCTACATAGATTAGAACCTGGGGAAGGAAGAAAATATTTACTCTACATATCTCTTCAAATTTGTTTTCAAGTTTTTAAACACTTCAGTTGCTAGAAAGCTGAATACAACAAAACTTGTGCAAATAAGTGTGTACTTTGCAAACTACAGAGATGTGGGGAGCCCGCCGTACCTGCTGCTCCAGAGTCTGGATGCGCTCTCGATCTTGCCTCCTTGTCTCCTCTGCTTCTCTCCCAAGCCGCTCACACTCATTCATCCTCTCTTCTAGTAAGCCGTTGAGCCTGGAAATTTCATGATGAAGCAACCCTGTGCTTGCAGAGCCGATCCCAGGAATCAAGCCCTGCCCAGAGGTCTCCTTCAGCCTCTGACACAATCCTCTGATGTAGTCCTCCCTGCTGGAATCGTACTTTTGCCACTGAGTATTCAGACCTTGTACCTTAAAAAATTAAACATCGATTAACTCGTCTCTTTAAATGTTTATTTTTGTGGCAACCTGATTTGATTGCAGGGACAAAATGTCAGAAAAACATGTGTTCTAGGTAAGTACTTACATATGCTACACGCTGCTTTAGCTTTTGATTTTCCTCCTGAAGTTGATGGATTTGGGAGTTGTTACATCCAATATCAGAGGACTGTGTCATCTGTAAAGTGGTTAAAGAGAAGTTACAACAGGTTGTAAACTGATGAAAAGCTTAAATAAATTCAGGGACCAGTCACCCCTAGAAAGCCTTAAGTGTACAACATCAGTTGAACACAGCCGAGACACACACCTCCTTAGTTTTTCGCTGCTGAGCCTCATCCTCAACCTCTCCTCCCCCCTTCTTGTCTTTCTCCATTCTGACCAGCAGCTCCTGGCACACCTTCACCGTTGCTGTGAGCTGGCTGCGCAGTTGGTCCGCCTCTTCGACCAGGGATGAGCAGAGTACGGCTCTGGTCGCCTCTGACCGCTCCTTCTCCTCAAGGGTGTAGCGCAGCCTCTGGATCTCCTGGTCCTTCTCGTGGCCCGGCTGACACCTGACACTTTCTAGTTCCAGCTCCTTCTCTCTGAGCTGCATGGTTAGACGCTGGATCTCCTGAGAGGAAGACAGATTAGTTGTATGGTGCATTTGGTGTATTTACAAAAACTGTTAATAGGCTACATGCAATCAAAAAAAAAATAAAGTTATATATTTTATTTATTTACATTTATTCTGTGTTGGATTTTTTTATCACTCTCAAATCAGTTTGCATTTCTGTGGGTGTATTTGAACATTTATTTCATTGGAGACTCCTAAGAATGCATGTGTTAAATTATAACCTTGAGCAGGGTGACAATTTTGATAAAGCTTTCAATAAGGCAAAATAAGGATTTAAGGGCTTTAAAGTGTATTAGCCTATTTATTAAAAGGAAGTAAATGTTGTTTATTTGCCACTTGGCTTTTTTTTTCTCGCCTAAGTCTAACAACACTTCATTTGCAATTTACAACATAATTAAAAGTGTTCATTGCGTATTTTACCTCTTCTTGACGAGATGCCTTGAACTCCACATCGTTTCTCTTCTGTTTCAGTTTGCATATTTCTTTGCACAGGCTATCCAACAGAGACTTGGAGGGTCCTATGTGCATGGACTCGTTATCTCCCACGTTCATGTAGATCATCTCATACCTCCCCAGCCTTGCTTTTAAATCTGCAATGATATTGTCCTTTACGTAGATCTGTTTGTTCAAAAGCTCCATTTCCTGTCGCGTCTCATGATACAGAGACGTGAGCATGCTGTAACTTCTGTCCTTCACCATATCGTTATCCGTGTTTACGCTTAAGTTATCCATTGCCCGGCTCCGTAGATCTTACAGAAGGTTCAGACTTGTAATAAACCAGCATTTGACGCCTCTGCTTCGAGACCCTGTGACTACAAAAATGTACCGAGATCAATTGTGTTGAAGCTTGTGTCGACAATAATATCCCCGGACAGTGTTGGGGATTTCCTGGGGAACTTCCCCGCGGACTTTTTTTTTTTTTTTTTTTTTTTTTTAAGATTCGTCAAACTGAGCCAGTCGATCGTCATTTGGAAGGTAAAGGGGTTTTATAGCCTTGTTGGCATAAATGGTAAAGAAAATACAGCAAAAGACATTTTAAATACAGTCAAAGAAAAGTTCAAGTTGGGCGCTACACACAGCCAAAAGTAAGTAGTCGTGCTGCCTTCATGGTCGTCGGAAACGTAGGGTACTAACGCGAAAGGTGCGATTTGTCGAAAGCACCTTGTTGCTATTGGTTAGCAAAAAATATCTGTCACATGCATGTTAAATAAAGAAGACGCTGGTTGTTGTTTTTTTTATTTGGGTCTCAAAGGTTGTTCGTGGAGAGGGAAACTTTGCATGCAGCACGGAGGAAACGTTTTACAGGGTAAAAAGTTACAACTAGGTGCCAACAACACTCTTTTCATGCAGCTTCAATAGATTATCTCCCCAAAAAACACTACAGATACCAGCTTCAAATATATCATTAAGTCCCACGTGTAAGTGGCTTATGTTTCCTGGAGTGATATTCACTCATCATAATAAATTAAATTTAAAAAAGGTTGTTAACAGGGTTTCCACAAATTGTGCCCCCCTAATCGACACATCAAGTTAAGCTGGAGTGTCAGCAAATTCCCCACTTCATAAATTACTTTAGTTTGTTTTTGTTCATCTTTAACCAAGATAAGCTTCATTTCTCATAGCCCTGAACGCATCATGAGGTCTCTTCAGCACTGTAACAGCCGGGATTGCGCAGTTACGGCCATGCCGGTGAGTGTTTTCATGTAGGCTTGCATGTCACAGTGACTCATGCAGTATGAACACTCATTGGCTTTTTAAACAATCATTGGGGACCTTTTTGCGTCCTGAAATGTTGGGAAAGAAACTGCATCCGTTACAGAAACAAATTACACATGCCTAGGACCTACAGTAATAAGTTATATTTATAGCTTTGACTCCATACAGTCATTGTGACCCCTTGATGCTACTTCTGCTCTCACTTAGGCCAATATTCTTTTGGTTGTGTTTTCTCCATGATATCATACTGTAACCAGTAACTGTAACATTTGGATTCCACAAAATATACAGGCATTAAATTAACCATCACTTCCTTTTGGGAAAATAGCTGAAAATAGCTGAGCGCTAATCCTGTTAATGGTCAAACGGTAATTTGGGATTTTCTTGCCCAAAATCCACCCTGATCATGTAGGTTATTTTATTTTCTGAACAGGCTGTTCCTGTGTCTACAGCTTTAAATGCAGGTGAGTTTTGTGCGACCTCGCCCCTCTGAGGGCTTGGGTGGCAAGGGCTTTCTTGCACCATTCCTGGTTGCTTAAGGTGAGAAGGCAGCCTCAGCAGGCAGAACAAATACTCTGTTTTTTTTAGGGGTGTGCACAAAGGGTTACTGCCCTTTGTGATGTTACAAAGGGAAAATCTCCAAACAGCCTGCACACACATTTTCTGAAAAGAATATATTTTTCTCATAATTGGGGGAGGGGGGGGGGGGGGGACCAGCTAGGGACCAGCTAGGGACACATATTAGTGTTTGGAAAATATGGGTAAGTGTATTTCACATAATATGTGATCTTTAAATAAAGCCGTTTCAAATAAAACCAATACAATTTATTAAAAATAAAATTTACTTCACAATGACCTTGCAATTGCAGTGTAAGTCTTTTTTTTAAAAGGAAAGGTGCAATGAATATAGGCTAGTATAGTAGGCTACAGAGATGACAAAGGATATAAGCACTGTGAAGTATCCATGATAAAGTGTGGACATGTTTTATAATGTTGACTACATATACATCTGGTAAAAAAAAAACATAACCATAATTATTTAGAATATTGAGTATCTATCTAAAGCCAGTCTTTTCTCTGCCCTTGAATTCATGATACATTCACACATGTAGGTCTACAGCCCTCTGCAGTAGTATAATGCAATATACGTGAACACATACTCTTTGTAACCTAATCTCCATTCTCTTTAGTGGTTAGACCCTGGACTACTATGCTGATCAAAATGAAACTAATGTCTAGACTGTAGGTGTAGACTGTTGAGTAAAATACTTGAGTTGTCCAAGAGGCCTCATCAGTTGTACTTGTCCTGGAGAGTCCCAGACAATTCTTTGTCAATCACCGAGTGATAGTGACATATAAGGGCTGTGAAGGTGAGTCATTGAGGTCACAAATCAGTCATGTGATAGCCAGGAGTCACATGAATCAAGATGTAAAGTGTGTAAAAATGTTGAGTAGGTGTGGCATAGAAGGTGATCAAATTATTTTTTAAAGACGCAGTTACCTTCGTTTTCAATACAATACTTTATTGTCCCCCAGGGGGAAATTTGTTGTCACAGCTTTGCACAGTTGGTACACAGGTATACTTATATGATAACATGGGAAGAAACATGTAAAAAAACAGGAAACACATAGACAATGAAAGAGGCCAGTCAGAGTGGACACTTATCAATAACTGATGGAGCAAAGCTCTTTTTAAAGCGAGCCCTCTTCCAGGTCAGAGTTCTGTATCTCCGACCTGATGGCAGAACAGAAAGGAGTAGATTGAGTGGGTGAGAGGGGTCCTGGTCTCTGGTGAGTGCTCTGTGAGTCCAGTGCTTTGTATTTCAGATGTGAGAGGTTTTTGTTATAGGTAGACCAATGATATGCAATTCAGAAGACAGCAGCAAGGTTACCAAAATGTAATGAATGCTTGCACATTTGAAGCTGCGACCTCCAAACCTTCAGGACACTGCTCAAAGTTTTTCTTTTTTTTAACCAGTTGGTGTCGTTCCAGAAATGTAACATTTTATTGCACTACTTCCTTACAACAGAGTTTGATAAACAGCCCTGTAAAGTATCTAGTTGTACCATTTTTGATGATCAATTTTAAGTCAGTCCTTTACATCATATTATGTTTTGTTTTTTTAACGGCATTTTCACTGTTTTCTCATATTTATATACATACAGTAAATGAGCACTCCGACTACTATCATGAAGATTACTGTTATGCAACAGCTAATATTTATGTCTATCATTGTTTGGGGAAATATATGAATCGCAAAATGACTAAAGGCATGCTATGTAGGCTATGTAGGCTATTAATACAAATAAGCACTTAGGCTAAGGCTCATAAACAAAAACAACCACAAAACAAGCAAAACTATATAACCACCAGAAGAAAAACAAAAAATGTTTTTGAGTGTTTCAGGAAGAGAAAGTCTTGTGAGCAAAGACAGAAAGTGACCTTTAGACTTCCTCTTTTATTTATAAATATGCCTGTTGTAATATTTCAAAAACACCCATGGATACCAGCAATCTGTGAGTAGTAAAAACATCAGAAAATAACTGGTAAACAAATTGGTAAACAAAACTAGATACGGTTGTTTATGTAGTCTGAATATTTTATAAGGAAAAACATGCAGATAATAAAAACCAGTTACAAAAGAATTAATGCATAAATAATTGAATTAAAACAATTAGGTGTGTACAAAAACCCTAATGCTAAGTACCAACACAATCTGCCATCTTGTAGGCCAGTGGTTCCCAAAGTTGGGGTCGTGAGCCATAAATAGGGGGGGCAACATGAGATGCCTTCCAAAAGAGAAAACCTTAAAAAAAAAAATCAACAATTTAAAATGGTATATTTTACAAATTACTGTGAATATATATATTTATAAAAATGTAGTTCCATTTTAAATAAAGCACATCAAGTGAAATTAAAGTAATGTGTAAAAAATCCTTAAACAGTTTGCACATGGCAGTGTTCGTGTCTGCTGCTCTTTACACAGAAAGATGCAAACACCTGTGGGTCTATTTATGAAGTTTTGTATCTCCACTCAGCGCTGAAGTCTATACATGGACATTAATTTATTCTGCTTCTAGCCTTTCTTTAAATAAATTGGTATATAAAATAATTGTATGCGTGCTTGAAGGTGGGCTATGTTATATGCCTCAGTCACTTTCAGGGATATTGGGGGTCCCCAGTCTCTGGCACCCTTATTTTTGGGATCGTGTACTGAAAAGTTCTGGAAAATAACTCAAGGCTGTTTTCACTACTGAAATCCACTAGATGGCAGCATTTGATAATTAACTTGTATTTTTTTCCTCTTGTGAGTTCTGTTTCCTTTTCCAAACAATAAAAAAAGTCATTTCAAGCATGTTGTTGCTTTTAATCGCTGAAAACTTTTATACAAGAATAAAAGACAGTATGTTATTTACACAGTAATACTTTTAAAACAATACTTTACATTGCACACATACACATCCCATAATTATCTGTGCTTAACAAGTTACTGCTCATCAAACAACACTATCAACCATTAAGTTCAGATATTCTATGTTTATACCAAAACTTTTGTCACACAAACAGAAGGATCCAAACCAAAACTTAAAAAACATAAAATGAAATGTGTAAGTTGGGGAGTAGAAAAATATGTGTTTTGTGGTAGAAAAGCGGTGGCTCAAGTACAAAACAATGACCAACAGTATTAAAATGTTGAAGAGGAAGAGAATATAGCCAGCTATCTCTCATTTTTTGCTTGAGAAAACAGTAGAAAAGAAAAATACAAAAATTTTTTCGTCTTTGAACATCACACTGGGATCACAGCTTCACTCAATATGCAACACACACACAAACACACACACACACACACAGATGAATACATTTTCTGCGATGTAAATACAGCATACCTTACATTCCAAACTAAAGGTTTTTACTTGAACACTTGAATCATGTAGACCAAGCAGTTGTGGGATTTAAATCTTTTTTTGTTGTTGTTGTCAGTCCATGAGTTTTGAACAGACTCAGAAAACAAGCAACTGGTGATATTTAACACTGTTAAAGAAAGGCCCAATGATGCAGGCTTTATATTTTTGGGTTATGACACAGATGACGGAGGAAACAAAGGCACGAGAAAAACCAGGAGAAAAAGACTGAACTCTCTCCTGGCAGTATTTAACAGTAGGCCACATCTGCCAGTGATTTTTTTTCGGAGTCAATCATTTTTAATCCCAGATTCAAAGCTCTGCTTGTTTTCACTATAAGATGTAATTAGTCATTCCTGTACACCTGGGACTCCAGCTGGGTGCAATTAACTGCAATTAATGAGGTGACAGCGGAGACTGCTCCCCAGGAATACAAAGAGCCACGTAAATCTGACCACTGGGGGGCACCAACTGCCAACTCAGTGCAAAATGAGTGGGAGTCATTGTTTGAACTTCACAAATATCCCCTTTTTTCTGATGCAGGTATCAGTGTGCCCAGATAAAGTCATGTTTTAAATGGGCTTCTTGGTGAATGTTACTTGAGTGTATTTTATTGACACATAGAACCCTAAAGAAAATGAAGATCCACAAGAATTATTGTTGCAGATAGGCAAAAACATTAACGAGTCACCCGCAGATGTGTTTTGATTAGGCCTACTTAAAAGTTGTTTTCTTTTCAAAGGCCAAAGAAACATCTTCACAGGAATCTAGAGAAGAACAAAAACTATTATTGCAACTTTTGTGACTACTTGACGAAGATAAATGGAAAGATCTCAACAAAACGTGCTTCTCAAAAAGTTGACAAATAGGCCTATGCTCTTTTTTTTTTGTGTGTGTGTCCTTTCTAGCACTGCAGCTTGCGGATACTGCGAGTAATCCTCTTGAACTCCCGCCGTCCCTTCTGCCATCGCTTGAGAGACGTGATGACCAGCTCTCCGTCCATCTTCTGGCCCATGACCAGGTAGGCGGCATTGATGTCGTTCATCTCCTCGCACACACACTGCAGGCCGTCCTTCAGCCACAGCACGGTCTTCCTCAGGTCGCGCTCCGTCACGCCGTTCAGCTTGTAGATGGTCTTGCTCTTGGTCTCTGGCACTATCTTGGTGTCTCCGTTAATGTAGAAGATCTCCTTCACTTTGATCTTCAGGGCTTATAGTGCAAGCAGGAGAGAAAGTAAGGAATGGAGACTGGAAATGTTTACAGAGAGTGTATGGACATCATCCTACTTGACATGTTGCTCTAATGAAAGCCATGTGAGAAGCTCAAGGTCTGTGTATGGCATATGGTTTAGAGCCAAAAATGCATGCAGTATGGGAGATAAAAGGGGGACAGAAGTCCTGGTTGCAATTCACATCTTTTCTTTAGACTTTACATTCAATGAGGCAAATTTAACATTAAAAAAATATATATCTCTATGTTGCCTAAAATCTCCTGAAATCTTTCTTTATGACCTCTTTGAAACTGCACTGCTCTATTTTTTTTTTTTTTAAAGTGGATGTACTTACCAAAGTCATTTTTGCAAAGATTGTCAACAATTTCGTTGTCGTTATCATCTGTTTCCTTGCAAGCGTCGCACACTCTTGGCACTAAAACATAAATTAGACATATTTATAGTTACAAAATCCTCCATAATTCAACACTACCCTTTTCGCGCATACATCCTATGCAGCATCAACAATAGGCCTACAAAATGTATTTTCAAATATTTGCCATTCCGTGCAAAATAAATATGGGATTCATGCACAAGACTTGGAAATTAAAAAGTCTAAAATGCAGTTTTACGTCGTCTTACCTTCTTTAGTGGCTGGTGCAAAGGTCTCCATGCCTGCAGGCGGAATGCACAAGTCATTATCGAGTGGGAATCGGTTGCAGTCCAGCATACTCGGCCACGGGAACCCAAACGCGGACATCACGGGCTCGCATCCGTTCTTGACGCTCTCGCACAGAGATCTGCACGGCTGGATGGGCTCGTCCAAGTCATCCAGACACACGGGAGCGAAAAGCGAGCAGAGGAACTTTCTCGTGTCGGGGTTGCACTGCCTCCGTACCAGCGGGATCCAGGACGAAGCTTGCTGCAGAACTTCGTTCATGGTTTCGTGTCCGAGCAGGTTTGGGAGACGCATCTCCGTGTACTCGATATCGTGGCACAGGAGGAAATTTGCAGGGATTGGCTTGCAGTTGTTCTTTTTGGGGAAGAATTCATGCTGGCCAAAGTTGTATAATCCGTGGATAGCTTCCATGCATGGGAATGTTATTACCAACAAAACGGTCACTGTAGAGACAAAAGCTCTCATTTTGTTTGCGCGTAAAACCTGAATGGTACAAATGTGAAATCAGGAGCTGCTCAGCATCAGTCAGTGTGGAGGGAGTCTCTGTCAGTGGACAGCTCTTACTGTAACAACAGGTTTTCTTCCAGGCTTGTCTGGGAGGAGTCTGAATGTTGTGCATAAAGACTCCCCTTGAACACTTGGTTTTCTAGTTTCCATAGGTCAAAAAAAGCCACATTTGTATTTATTGCTCCTTGGGTCTTTTAGACATGTTTGATTTTATGTTATAACTCAAGAGTTTTTATTTATCACTATAACTGTTTTCCCCTCCTTAATTCATCTCCCACCCTTCATGGAAATAATAACAAAACGTGTCAGACACTTTTCCTCATTACGCTCAAATCAACAGAAATATGACCTGTGTGATCCTTCACCTTGCTGTGTTTTTTTTTTTTTTTTTTTTTGCCTGTGCTGTAAAATAGTTTGGAAATGTTGTCAGAAAGGGTATTTAGCTCGGTTCAGTGAAGCGTTAATTTCCCATCATTAGTAGTTTAGCAGGGACATTCTCCGGGCAGGGCTGGCTCATGCCACATGATGAAATATTGTTTGCCCCACTTTGAGAGGCAGAGCAGCACTCAGCACACCCATGGGGGGAAACCCAATCTGCCTCCTCCTGCTCTACAGGCCCCCCTTCAGCTTCATTCTGCTCTGCAGACAGCAGTGTGGTTCTTCTCAGCACTGACCTCCCTCTTGCTGAAATGAGCAAACATTTAAATCTTGTTTGTGGAATATTTTAGTGAGAATTTTTAGCCCACCTAAATTACAGAAACATATTTCCACTCATATTTTTAGTTTTCCAGATTTAGAGAAGTCTGTCACCAAGATTCCTGCTGCATATATAGAAGACCCAAGTGCCATATATCCATTAATTTTTTCCATTTGTGCATGATAACAAGTCATTTCCAATTATTTTCTAGAGCACTGAATCTCATCAGGTCATCACTCAGGCCTTAAAGACAGATCGAGACTAACTGTGCCAGATTATTTCTTTTGCAGTCTGTAAACTGTGTCACACTACTAGCCTTACCTTGAAGAACTTTGAACGTGATTTTTTGTTCTTGTGTCATGGACTGACCTGTTTTCTCTTTTTGTGTGCAGCCTGCCTGTGAGCCTCACCTCCTTGCTTTGGATTTTTATTTGGCCTTGCTGCTTTTTGAGTTTTCCTGCGCCAGCCCGTCCTCTGTTGCCACTAACTGCCTTAAGCCTTTTATTTTGCTACAAGCTACATTAAAACGTTTTAAAGACTGACTTTTGTTTCCGTGTTCTGCATACTGGGGTCCAAACCCTAAAACTCAAACATAACACTTCTCTCATTATCTTCAGATAACGTTGGGTTTCCTGTGAAAACTAATTAATTTCAGTAATTTTTGTTATTATCTCAGGATAGCTGTTTTTTTGTCAATAACATATTCATAAACAACATACACTTTTTAGTGATCTAAAATAAAATCAATAGGTTTGTCACTGAACCCGCTGTTACTCACACTAATGAGGGTACTTAACTCTTTGGATATAAGATGAATAAATAAAGATCTTGAGAAAACAACCAGAAATTACCCTTTATTTGTCGGAAAACAGAGTTAAACGTTTACAATAAAGTGTATGGATGCATGTCCACTTATAGGGCCTCCGTTACTACCACCTAAATGTTATAAAAATAATCTGTGTTGCTATTAAATCATCAGCAACATGTTTCCTTTCAGACCTAAAAAATTGATGATTGTAGATTTATTCAAAGAATAAAGTGTCCCTTGTTGATATCTATTCTGTATTCTCACAGTTCAGTCTTGTAAACCTTTAAACTGTCACCCACTCAGGTCCTCTCTTTAGGGTTAATTCCCTTTAAGGAGCAGGAGGAACAAAACAATCATTTGATTTAAAGGCATAGTTATAATGCATTAAACCTGCCTTTAAAGTTTAAAGCTCCTGAGGAGAACTTTACAAGAGCATACTTTGGCAAAAGGTGTCACTTTTTAATGTTTTTTTTCTGCATTTAAAACAAGACTGAATAAGAAAGTGAGTCCATCTTCTGTGTATAAATGTGCTGCATCTAAATGTTTATACTTAAGTGTTGTCCTTGACTGGTTTCGTGTAGCGTCATAAATCCACAATATTGTTTGACAGTAAAGCAAATGTATTGCTTTTAGACTATACAGGAGAGCAGAGCTGTACTAAGAGGACATTTTATAACTGCAGAGTGACAAACTTTAAATATGTTCCCTCTATAATCAAAGTGTTGATTTACACAAAAAAAACAAAAAAACAGGATTTGCAACTTATCTTAACCTGTTCCATGTAGACAGCTTAAGTGCTGAAAATATGTGGGATGAGATAAGTATGCTATTGTCTGCAGATCTTTGGTCTCGTGTTATTGTAAGATTTCTAGTTAAAGCTACGTTGAAGGATAAAAATATGTCTTTCAAGAGTTTGCAGCCAGAGCGTCAAAAAGGACTTCTTTAAAAATGACTCAACGGATCGTGTTGTATGGGATGTGTTGCTTTAGGTAGCAGTCAGACATGAAGTCCATTGACTCATAGATCCAGAAGTTTTGAGTTACAAATCCATAACCGAAGCAAAACTATGCACTTTGATTAATAATAATACAAAAGGATAAAAACATAGAACACTCAAGGAAAACCATAGCATCATTTATAAAGTAATGGTGGTTTCTGACTAACTTAACCAGGATCATGCCAGAGGACATCAGGATGCTAAACTGTATTTTTCTTGCAATCCTTCTACAATACTGGACTGAAAAAAAAAAACCTGGACTGGCTTCTGGCTTTATTCAAATGAGTAACAGGGTTGAATTTCTCTCATACAGTCAAGGTTTGTTGTGAACGCAGCTTCGAAGCGTTGAAGCAGAGACCTTTAGTGTTTCAGTCAGAGTCAAAGGTTTAACTGACTTTTAAAAGGGCAACTCTCCCCCTATCATCCCCTTTTCTTGAGAGTGTGTTTGTTCTATTTAGTTCTTTGTAGAAACGCTTTTACGGACATTTTAGGGACTGGAGCCCCCCTGTTAACCTGCAACTGGACTCCCCTAAGCTAAGCAGCAGGTCAGCGAGCTAAACTCTACCTGTGGTGAGAGAGGTCACATGTTAACCTCTCATGTGACCCACACGTGATCAGCGATTTATAAACTTACAATCCAATCTAATTTTCTGTTTAAAGCAAATTTAAAAACAACAAATGTTGACCGAAGTGTTGTACAATGTCACATAAAAACAAAAAACAACAAAAATCCTATGACCAAGCATAGAAAATTCAACACCAAAAAGTGATAAATAACTTGTGAATATGCTGTAAATACAAACTCTTATGGCATGCAATGGGGAATGAGATGTACATAAGGTAGTAAATAAATCGAAAAGAAAGAAACCTATAAATTATGGAAAGAGTCCAAAAGATGATAAATATACTACAGTAAGAATGAGATCAAACCTTACTAACCCAAAGACTTCATTTTCCCAAAATACTGATAATGTACTGTCTGTATTAAAGACACAGTTTCATGGAAAGTTAGGGTAAGAGGAAAGCTGATCCTAGGCCTGTGCTTAAAGTCACCCCAGCAGGTTCTCATTACATCTTCATCTGAAAATGAAACACAGCTTGTCTGGTCTTCTATCTGTAGCCCAATAACCCTTCTTTCTTTAGCTTTCTACTACCCTTCACCATTAAACCAAGCCAATTTTATACCAAGACTAAAGGACCAGACTTTTGTTTACAGTCTGTATAATGTATAGTAAATTGGTCTAAATAATACCGAACCTCTGTGTTTGAGGAATCAGTTTATTGAAGGTCAGTAAAGACGAATCTCTCATTCCGAGAAGCATCAAAGCCATCAGCGCTGCAATAATTTGAACCAAACCAACCATGTTTTAGAACAGTCTCTTCTTGGCTGAATTCCAGTTTTCTGCAGACAGGCTGCCAAGTTTTACACAGGATCTTAAGATTGTGGAAAAATGATTTGCGATCACAACAGATTACAGGATTGCTCTGGCCTTATTCCATAATTTTCTTATTGTTAAAGCTTCTGTGAGGAACTTTCAGGTTGTGTGGATTTTAACGACCCCTCTGGACAAAACAGGACCGTTTATATCGTCACTGATATTCATATTGTCCTGTAGATGCAAAATTATTTGTATTTTTTAAAGGAAGAATGTGCAAAAATTGTATTTATAAATATCCTAAATGTCTCTCTGAGTCATGGCTGTCGACAATGAGTGAGAATCCGGCTGTGTTGTTGTTGGAGCCGTGTTTACATCAGGTTTATATGAGCGGGACGGCCAACTCCTCTCCTTGTCTATAAAAGCTGTTTTAGCCAAGGCCTAGAGAAAAAAAAGAATAACATAAATAAATAACATAATAACAGTAGCCTACACACTGCTCATTTTGATGTCACGTTAGCGTTTCAACTCACGGTCATTCCATGTCAAATTATATGCAATGTAATGCTAGTGTGCTAACATTAGCCTGCTAACATAACAATACCGGCAACAGGCAATTGCAGCTCGAGCAAAGGACAATTTTGTTCTGCTGCTTGCGCTTGACTCCTGCCTGCGTACTCGCATGCAGAGGGGTTGGAGGTGTGCTGCTGTAGGAGAGCGGAGGCTTCAGAATGGCGGAGGTGCTGCCAAACAGCAGTTTGTTTTGGTTTCATGCTGGTGCTCAAGAGCGACATCTACTGGATCAAAAAGTCACACATTCTTCCTTCAACAAAAAGTCACACATCTTTATTTTAAATGTCTAACATGCTATAAATCTTTGACGGGGAAAAAAAACTTTGCTTCAGAAGTATGCTGTTAATCTCCTCTTCTGAAACCTACCCCAGAGATGACAGGCTTATTAAATAATTACATAGAAATAATTAATCATCCCTCCAATCTTCCTGTTTGCTTTTGCAGGTCATAAAGACCCCCTAGTATATTCAGTCTGTTTCAGAACCAGCTAAAAACTCCTCACAGAAGCTTTAACACATGCCGTGAAAAGACCAAAGTTATCATACTAACAAGTAATGCATGGGTAGTCAAAGCAAGATATAGCTTATCATGTATTTGTCTTCCTGTTGACCTTTGTAACTATTTAAATAAAAAAAAATCCCCCAGTGTTTGACTGGTATGACTGGTATTTAAATGCCATGAATATGGGTGCTGACTATCAGTTCCACATTAACTTTCCTGCTGCCATATATACTCAGCAGTGCACCTGCTGTTTCATGAAATGCAGCTATGTTTTTGCGACTTGATTTTTGTAAATCGTTTGACTTCAGTAGAAACAAATTGGCTTGAGTCTGAGTACCATTAGTATTTCTCATACTGGCTCAAGAAGAAGAGTTTGAGAAATGAAAACAAAATAATGGGCCATCTAATATGTCTACAGATGAGAAAAGTGAGATAATCTCTGGAATTTGTTTTCATAAAAATGATGTACAAGACTGACTGTTCTATCTAGTTTTTTTTTAATGCAAGTCACAAGTCTTCACTTTGAGGAACACAAGTCTTCATACTAATCTTCCCAGCCCCTTTCGCTGCACACTGAGAAGCAACAATTCAGCTCTGAACACAGTCCTTTGGAGCACTAATGAGCTTGTTAACTTCAATCATTGCTTCTACATTGACATTTGGGAAAGAATTTATCCCATCCAAGAGGAATTAATCTTATTAGCGCGCCAAAGTTATATAGATTGTGCCCGCTTGGCGTAAGGGATGTTGCTATTGTACAAGTCTAATTGACTCAGTGTGGGGTTTCAGAGCAGCTGTGGGACACGTAGACGACTACAGCAGACTTTTGGATGGACAGATGAATTTTATTTGAGATATATTGTATATATCTAAAATATAAATATAGGTTACAGCTTGAAGATATTAGCACAGCTTAGCATAAGAGACTGAAATGGGGAAGTAGATGTTATTTAGGTTTTATGGTTAGTTATGTGGCAGAGGAACAGTGCACTTGTTTATTTTTACAGATAGAATGTACTATAACACGTTAAGTTGGCCACATTATGGACTCATCTCTTACTCGTAAGTATGGAATTTTGGTCAGTGGCTCTTTGATTCAGAAAGTACTCAAATTAGCGAAACTAAATATTAAACACTTTTGGGCCTGATACACAACAGGATTGTGAAGCTTTTGTGCCTGCTAAAGCTGTGCAAATGGATAAAGAAAACGGTGTAATTCACAGAACACATGCAGGGGATTGAATACAACCCTGACTACACAGCAGAGCAAACAGCGTCTCTGTGTGT